TTAGGTGGCCCCTCCCAGTACGCCTGCGTGGCGTCATGGGGGTTCGCTACCAGTCGGGGGCAGTGATGGTCCAGCCAGTGTGGGCTGCCCCGTCTCTTTCAAGTGATAACCTGCATTCCACTAAGTCGGGTTGCGCAGAGTTCTTTGCCAGGTTTCATGGTGTGAGTCGAGCAACTCATTTGAACTCCCCGCGCATTGCTCATTGCTCCTCCTCCTCCTCCTCCTCCTCCTCCTCCTCCTCCTCCTCCTCCTCCTCCTCCTCCTCCTCCTCCTCCTCCTCCTCCTCCTCCTCCTCCTCCTCCTCCTCCTCCTCCTCCTCCTCCCTCCTCCTCCTCCTCCTCCTCCTCCTCCTCCTCCGCCTCCTCCTCCTCCTCCTCCTCCTCCTCTCTCCTCCTCCTCCTCCTCCCTCCTCCTCCTCCTCCTCCTCCTCCTCCTCCTCCTCCTCCTCCTCCTCCTCCTCCTCCTCCTCCTCCTCCTCCTCCTCCTCCTCCTCCTCCTCCTCCTCCTCCTCCTCCTCCTCCTCCTCCTCCTCCTCCTCCTCCTCCTCCTCCTCCTCCTCCTCCTCCTCCTCCTCCTCCTCCTCCTCCTCCTCCTCCTCCTCCTCCTCCTCCTCCTCCTCCTCCTCCTCCTCCTCCTCCTCCTCCTCCTCCTCGCCCTGGGCCAGGCAGCGCCACGGCCCGCCAACTCCCTTGATAGTGCAAGGACGACGCCCCAGACTGCCCACGGCAGTCGGCCCGTGGGCCTTCACCGCCCGTGTGACTGCTGCAGCCGGACCTGGGCCATAATAACATCCATAAATCCAGAATAAGGAGGAGGAGGAGGAGGAGGAGGAGGAGGAGGAGGAGGAGGAGGAGGAGGAGGAGGAGGAGAGAGAGGAGGAGGACCCTCCGCCGGCCAAAGCACCCTAAGTCCTAAGATCGCCCAAGGGTGCCCGAGGATGCACCAGAACCTCCAACCAGACACGAAGAAGATCAGGATACCCTCCCCGAACCGACCTCGACGTTATACCTCGGTCCGACTGTACGGTCGGGACCGTTTGCTCAGCGTGTCGCCGCGGCGACCCCGGCGACACGCTGTCCCGTGCGAGCGGTTAGCGTGTCGCTCCGCTCCGCGTGGCGGGAGGCCCGGGAAAGGCTCGGGACACTGGCGCCTGGGGGACCGCAACGTGGATGGCGTGTCTGGCCGACGCGCTGTCGGCCAGAACTGGCGGAGCGACGCGCTATCCAACGGCTCCCGACCGTGGCCAGTTCAGCCCCTTCCTCCTCATCCTTCTGCCCATCTTCTCTGGAGAAAATAAAAGCTGCATCTGGCCATCGCTCGGACGTCCATTCCCTGTGTTTTTTTCCGGTTTCGTGCGTGGTTTTTTGGCCAAATGATCAAGGATGCTCCTTGATGGTCCTCGCCGAAAAAAATGCACACGTCCGAGCGATGCCAAGGCATAGGCACTATATAGCTGCTGGAGCTCCGAGGGGAACTCCGCAAGCTTGCGTCTATGAAATGATGGCTTCTTCGTCGATCCTCGGGACGGACGGGCAGCCTGACTCGGCGGTGGACTGCACGGCGATCGAGCCCGCGGCGGGAGCTGGCAGCGCCACCTGGAGGCGGCAGGGGGACGGGGCGGGGACCAGCTCTCGCAGCGAGGGGCACCCTTCCCAGGAGGGAGTCTGCGCTGAGGTGACGAGAGATCGAGCCATGGCACGCTCTCGATCGCGCACGTCCTGAGGCTCTCTCTACGTCTTTGCTTCGCGCTTGCCCACTCCGGACGCGACGATCCTGGCGGAGCAGGGAACAACGTTCTGGTAAGAAGTCCCTAGTAGAGGTTCAAAAAAAACACGAAAGAGACACTCAGTGGAGGCGGGGAGCCCGAGACCACCCGGTCCAGAAGCGGTCCGGCAGCCAATTTCGCTTGAGACTTCCTCACAACTTGTTCAGGAATCGTGCCGTCGCCTGTGCTGGCTACACTTTTGGTCCAGACGGCCACGATTCCTGGCAAAAATTCTCTTGAGTGCACATGGCCGTGTCTCGACCTCCTTCTCCTCGACCTGCCTCTTCACCAGCGCTGCTATTAGGGAGCTTTGCTGGGGTATTTGGTTCGCACAGTAGGATCTCCGGGGGGAGGGAATACGAAAGTGTTTCTCTGCATTCTCGGCCTCATGGGGCCTTCACCGGGCTCTGGGGTTGGCCGGGGATGGCTCGGGCCGAAGAGCCCGTCCCACGGAAGGCGTCGAGGCCTCTGGGGGTTCCGTTTGTGGACTGGACACGACGTCGGAGGTGGGGATTGAAGCGGGAGGAGGAGGAGGCGGTGATGATCAGAGTGAGGCGGCCGAACGGTCTTAAAACCCGGGGTGCACCGGGGACAACTGATGTCCTGGCTGGATGATGCTATTGTTGAATTCTCAAATCCAAAAATAAGATTGATCCCTCTTCTGGTGACCATTCTATTTTTCAATTGAGGTGCCACTCCTGGGGCTCGCGCCTTGTTTTCAATCAGGGAAAATCTGGGGTTACCAAATCGGACCCCTGGCCGCCGACTCACCCTGATACTTCCTCACTGTATATTTCAAAATCGCGCTATCGCTTGGGACCTCTGACAATCTATGCAGGAATCGCGGTCTCGCGTGGGACTTCCTCGTAATGTATTCAAGCGCCGCGCCCTCGACGCTCAAGAACCGCGCTTTCGTTCTGGCCTTGCTCGCGATTTGCTCGGGAATCGCGCTATCGCTCGAAACCTCCTCGCGATTCATGCAGTACTTACGCTTCAAGAGCTGGCCTGCTCGACTTGGCCGCTTGGACCTGCCTTCCCGACCCGCCCATTAGGGTCTGCCCGCCCGATCAACCCGTCTGGTTTTGCGAAGTGCTTCCTGCTCCTAACCCCCTCTCCTGCTAATCTCTCCCGTGTTGAATCCTTCTCCCTCCCCCTTCCATCCGTCCTCTCGTCCCTGGTTTTAGGGGCTGTGCAAATTACACGTGACAGGTGAGGAAGATATACCCCAAGGGTGTACTATTGAAGACGACGTGGGCGAGTATCGCAGGCTTGGATATACGTGTTGACTAGCATGCAAGTAAGAAGGCATTGTCTGACACTGACCATTGATTTTGTTGATGTTGCTGGTGTTGTGTTGTCGTCATCGTCGTTGTCGTGGTCGTTGTTGTTACTGTTGTTGCTGCTACTGTTGTTGTTGGTGGTGTTGGTGTTGTTGTTGCTGTCGTTGACGATGGCTCCCGCGTGATGTTTCGCGCGCTCGCGCGGGACATCCTCGCAGTGTATGCAACGGTCGCGCTCTCGCATGGCACGTCCTCGCAGTGTATTGCAAAGCCGCGCCCCAACATTCAGAAATCACACTCTCGCGCTGGATGTCCTTACGACTTGCCTGGGAAGCGCGCTATCGCTACACACCTCCTGGCGATCCCTGCAAGACCGACGCTTCAGCGACCCGCTCGCTTGACCTGGGCCCGCCCGCCCGACCCGCCCGTGAGGGTCTGCCCGCCCGACCCCCAGCCCGCCCGTCTGGTTATCCCGCTGGCTGTCCTGCTCCTGGCCACCCTCCTGCTAGTCTCTGGCGTGTTCCATCTTGCGCTTTCGCCATTGTTCCCTCACTCCTCCCATTCCCCGTTTCAGGGGCTGCGCCAACTACACGTGGCGGGTAGGGAAGATATGCCCCCAGGGGGGGATGCGGTCGAAGACGAAGAGGGCGGGCATCGAGGGTTTGCAAAATGCATGCTGAATGACACACGAACAAATACGAACGAACAACATTACAATGATTGTTGTTGTCGTCGTCGTCCCCACGGGCCGCCCGCGAATCCACCCCGCGACCCACCCGCGACACGCCCACGACTGACCCCTCAACCGCCCCCGCACTCTTATCCGCAATTGCGTGGTGCTGCGTATTCGGCTGGCAGCTTCCACATACCAAAACCAGGCCAACACACAAACGTCCAGAGGTGCGCTGCAGAGGCTGGCCCAGCGCCGATCTGAAAAACTCGCGCGGGCCTCCGAGCCAGGGTGAGGGTATGTTACAGGCAGTGTCAAGCCAGCGCGGTGGGTATATGCTGATGAATGCTCTTGGCCCTGCAGTCAAACAGCATAGCAAGGATTGGCAACTTTCCTAAGGTTCCCCTTGCATCCTTGCCTCCTCGGTCCATCCTTGGCCACTTTCGTTGGCCGCGCCCCGCTCGAAGAGCTTCGGAATGGGCGTCCAAAGCCCTTGCATCCTCATCGTGCATTCTTATGGTAGGGGCCGACTGTATGCCACGTTGAACTGTTGTCGTGAGTGCTGGTGCAATGGGGAGGGGGGCGGCCAGGGGCCGCTTGCGCTCGAGCCCGCGGGTCTCGCCCCCTCCCCGCACTTGTGCTGGCTGCCGACGCCCACCCTGGAGGATCGGGGCGTCGCTCCTGTGTTTGCATGCGCCTCCTCGATGCTCCCTTTACTCTTTTTCTTGAAGCGCGCGCGAGTTGATTTGGATAGACCGCGCATGCTGTGAATTACACTGTTTCGTGAGCGTGCATCGAGGCAAGTGGTGAACGTTGACAGGTTTAGACACGTTTAGACACGCTTGTTGAAACGATTCGGCATGTTTAAACGTTTCGTCTGGGAAAAGACGACACGGATGTCTTTTACACACGTTTGAACACCTTTAGAGCACGTTCTGACACAGTTTACTTAGACACAGATAAACGCGGAAACGTATATACACGTTTAAACACAAATTATGCACACAGCAAGCCGGACACAAGCTGGCACCCCGCCTTCCTCCCCGTGTCCTTTTTCTCTTGTTCCTGCTTATCCCCTCCCCTCCTCCTCCTCCTCCTTCTTCTCCTCCTCCTCCTCCAACTCCTCCTCCGTCCTCCTCCTCGTCTTACTCCTCCTCCTCCTCCTCCTCCTCCTCCTCCTCCTCCTCCTCCTCCTCCTCCTCCTCCTCCTCCCCCTCCAATCTCATCTTCCACTGGCTGGTCTACAATGCCTTAGTGTTATTGGCACCCGCTTCTAAACGGGACGACCAACAAACGCAGGAACCACATGCAGATGTGGTGCGGCCAACACACCTGTGACGCATTCCCATAGCATTGCGTCTACATGTTTTCCATTACAGGCACACCTAGACACGAAAGAGACATTCGAACATTTACACGTTTAGACATGTTTAAGCACCAAACACGGCGGAATAAACTCGTCAAACAATTAGAAACACTTGCTCGAACATAAACACGTTTGAACACCCGAACACGCCGTGCAGACGCGAGAGGCACGCGCCTATTCATTTCTAAAACTGATTGTTTTAGACACCCTCGCACCGCGCTCGAGCGTGAGCGCTGCGAATTCAGTCGCGTCTGGCCAAAAATATACACGCCTTTTGGGGCAGGCGCCGCGAGTTTGCAGATTTGGGATCTTCGCGGATTTGGCCCGGGCGCGGGCCACTCATCAAGCACGGCGCTGCGCTCGTATTCATGCTCACTCCCTGGCGTGGAGCGGATCGGGGGCCAAGGAGCGATGCGCCTGGGGGGTATTACTCTTACACGTACCCTTCCTATCACTATTGGCGTTACTTGCCGACCTTCTGTGCACTCGCACTCATCTCACGATTACTCTTACTTTGAGTTCACTCCGACCCTTACTCGCATTCAGACTATGGCCAGCACTCGTGCACGCGCGCATGCAGCTGCTGCTGCTGTTAGCGCAACCGCTACTTTTTACCACGACTGCCACTGCGTCTCCTGCGCCAAAGAGATTAAGACAAAATCGGACGGATCCAAACCGAGGACCTCTCAGATCTGGCGGCTCTGGAGCATGAGTCGGGCGCCGCGGTCGTCCTGGAACACCCCATAACGCTCTCGAGGCGTGCGTGCTGGAGCGCTCTGGAACGATTTGTCCCGGTCCTCGCCCCACTCGCCTTCTGCACCTGCCGCTGGCGATCCGCCGCTTTCATAAGGGGCAAACAAACCAACCTCACTTTTCACCACCCTCGCTTCCAAGAGATACCAAGCGATGCCAGACTACGGCCTGTACTGGTCAGACCGCTTGACGAGGAGGCGCGTGGCATGACTCACATCTGACCAGCATGCAGAACACATTCATCAAATTTTTTGGTCGTTTGAAGGGTCGCCCGACCTGTGGCAAACAGCGCGGCGCCCTTTGCGCGAAGGCCGCTTTGCACAGATACGCGCAATTGAAACTCGCCACGAACCCGCGGCGCCGCGGTTTGCCCCAAACGAAAAAAAAAACACGTATAAGCTGGCAACGGGACATTTGCACTGGCGGTGGCGTCGCGAACGAACAACTCCACGCGCGCTACACAATTCCACCCAATACTTTCGCACGCGCGCGGCAGCGCGGAAAGCCCGCGAACGCTGGGCCGCCGACGCAAGGGCGCGGCACTGGCGAGGCGCGCGCGCGTGCAAAAGAGCGCGGCTGAACGAATCGATCCACAACCGAGGGGGGGAGCACGAGCAATATTAGCGCAACGGCGAAATTCAGACGATCTTGGGCGTCGTCGAAGAGACGCGTGCGACGCAGAGTCGCACTTGGCCCCGCTACCACTGACGGGGCGCACCCCGCAAACACACAGCGCAGTACCCGCACCAGTGCTGGGCTCG